CCTCCAGGGGCTGTGGCTCAGGCCTGTTTCTCCAAATCAGGCTGGCCCCCGAGGCAGTCCCTGTTTACCCCTCCTCTGCCCCTGGGGGGCTGGTCCCTTCGTTTTAAGGAGAGAATCATTCATTTTCCTCCTTTCCATTGGCTGCTTACTACCATTAATTTACTAGGAGAGAGAAAAGAGTATCTGAGAATAAATGTGTATAAGTCTTGGTCTCTGATGAAAGATTTTGTGCAGAAATATGGAGAATCATGAACTGTTTCTTTTGTATTCTGCCCCTCAACTAAATACCAAAAGTCCCGGTTGGTAATATAAGTTTTAGACTTAAACTCTGCACACTTGTGACTGAAGCATAAAGACGTCAGTAGAAAAGAGAAATCCCTGAGATGTCAGAGGCAACAAGGGCAGGTGAAGCTCCACTGCACTGAGGGCAGGGGTGTTTCTCAAGGAGGCGCCAATGAGCAGGAGTGCGGGAGCCAGCTGGGGGCTCGTAGTCCAAAACTCACCGGCCTCCCTGCCTGAAGGAGGCGTGCAGCCCATGTTCCCCTCACCGACCTCTCGGTTTCTTTTTTCTTTTTCTTTTCTCCCTCCCTCCCTGCCACCCTCTCCTCGTTCCTTCGTTTTTCTTTCTTCCTTTTGCTTTTAGAGAGAGGAAGGGAGAGAGACAAACATGGGTGTAGAGAGAAGCATTGATTGGTTGCCTCCCATAGCGCCTGGACCGGGATTGTAGGCACCCAGACTAGGGATCAAACCTGCAACATAGTTCTGTGCCTTAACTGGGAATCAAACCCTCAATCTTTTGGTTACAGGATGATGCTAGAACCAACTGAGCCACACTGGCCAGGGTTCTTTTTTCTTTTATTAAGCCACATTGCATATGGATTAAAAGATAATTTTTAAAAAGTTTGAAATAGTCCAAATTTACATAGAAGTTGGAAGTTCAGTACAAAGAATTGGTTTTAACCATTTGAGAGTTAGGTTGCCAACCTAACGCCCCATCACCCCGAATACTTTGCGTGTTTTTCCTACATGCAAGGACATTTTCCTACCTGACCAAAATGCAACCATTAAAACTAGGAAATTTTGATAATGTTACCTCCATCAGATCCTCACATCCCATCCAGGTTTTGCCAGTTGTCCCAGTAATGATCCAGTTCAGAATTGTGCACTGCATTGAGTTATCGTGACCTTGATACTTTAGAAGATGATAGGCTGTCCCTCAATCAGGGTTTGTCTGATATTTAGGTTAGGCATCTTTAACAGGAATATCACAGAAATTAAACTTTGTTTTTCTCATCGCTTCCTATCATTTGGTGCATGATTTTGATTTACCCCATTATTAATACTGTCCATTTTGTCAGTGGATTAAGGCGATGTCTGCCAGGCTTCCCCATTGTAAACTTGCTCCCTGTAATAATAAGCATTCTGTGAGGAGATACTTTAAAACTATATGAATATCCCATATCAAACTTAAATTTTATTTATTTATTTATTTATTTGTGGGCCCGTGGGTTTCCTTTTTATTCAACACGTTGTAATCTATTAATATTATTTATTTGCCAGTGGGATCCCCTTCAAGCTTACTTCTGCATCCTTTTCATACGTTTTTATCATTGAGCATTTCCTTTCTTTCTGGCACGAGACGTTTCAGGTTCATCTTATCCTTTCCTTGCCACAGCCCTGAAATCAGCCATTTCTCCAAAGAGCTCTGGAGAATGTCATTTAGAAGGTGACCAGGTGCTGTGTGTGCTCATTACTATTGGAATGTTGCTGCTCCCTGGCCCTTCAGCAGGCAGCTAGAAAATATATGTGCGTGTTTTTATATATTTGTGTACGTGTGTGCGCATGCATGTATCCATTCTCAATTGCATCTAGCTTTATTTTTATTTATCTATTTTTAGAGAGAGGGGAAGGGAGAAAGAGAAGGAGAGAAATACCAACTGGTACCTCTTGCATGCCCCCTACTGGGGGCCTGGTCCACAACCCAGGCATATACCTTGACTAAGAATCAAACCAGCGACCCTTTGGTTCACAGGCCGGCACTCGACCCACTGAGCCACACCAACCAGGGCTCTAGATTTATTTTTATATATTATATACCAGAAACTGAGTTCGTGCTTTTACCTTCAATTCTAATCTGACACCATGGATTTTTTCCTTTTCCCATATTTTAACTCTGTCCTCTAATAGTGAGAAACCTTGTTTCTGTTACCCTTAATATGTCCTTTAATAAATTACTCTGTGTGTAAGTAATCTCCATTGTGGTCACCTTTCTTCCCCCTGCTTGGCTGCCTTTTTTACCGTGCCCACGACTCCCTGCATCAGACCCCTCCACCAATGCCCCGTGGATGCCTTCCACACCCCATCCTGCATCCGTATGGATGCCCTCCTCACCTACTTGCACTCTCATACTGGCCTCCAGACCCGTATGCTCCCCCAACTCCAACTGTTGTTGACACCTACCTTCCTCTACTACAACTAATGGCTCTAAAGCCATTAGATTGAATTTTTCAGGAAGGGAAGAGGAAGAGGTGCCCTCTGTTTCTTGGCTTGAGTTGAACTTGATGCTTAGAAGTAAGGGAAGTATAGAACCTAGTGACTGCTGACATATGGAGGCCTGATCTAATATCTGCTCTCAAGACTTTCTGCAAGAGAGGCTATTTGATGTGGGTGAAATTGGGTGAGAAAAGCAAGGCCTGCAGACAAGAAGACCTCTGGCCATCAATATTATCATCTGTGGAAGGGGATGAGACATATAGTATGCTGTATGAGAGGTCTAGAGAATTCTGGGAAGTAGGAGACAATATTAATCTCCGAGGTTGCCTTTTACATTAAGTGGGTTTATAGGTCCAAAATATGGGGGATCCAGGTTTGCCTATGTGGGCATAGCCCAATAAAGTAGTAAATAATAGATCAATAATAGTAAGCTAATATTGACCCATAAATTAGTTGCAAATCCAGTGGCACAAGGAGGAGGTCAGTGTAGCTTCTACCTACTCCACAGCCGTCTTGGACTCTCCCAATAGTAAACTAATACTGAGCCAGACACTGCCCTTAGTGCTTTGTGTGTCCTCTCATTTCAGTCTCACTTACGGAGTAGGAACTACTATTGCCACTTCACAGGTGAGGAGTGAAGAAGATCTGGCCCATGGTGCCATGGCAGATCACCGGTATAGCCAGGATTCAAACCCGGAAGCCCTCCTTAATCATGACACTTAATTGCCTGTAGCATCTGGTACATGGGTTCTGGTTGACTATGTATTACACTTTGTACACTCTGTTTACACGTTGGAGAACATTAAGACTTTAAGAAGTCCTTATTCATGGCCTGATTTCAAGGGGTTAGAGAAGTGTTCCAAAGGCCCTGAGGGACTTCAGGTCCAAACTGGAATGCGTAATGTGAGCAGATGGGCGTTTCCCATCTCGTCAAGGCTGCCATACTGTTCAGGTGTGTTTGATGTGAAGAGTTATTTTGGATTCCAGCTTTCAAAGGGACATTTGCCTTTCCAAGGAATTCCCTAATGAAACTCAAGCCACCTTTTTCTAACCTGGGCTGAGTTTTGGCTGCATTTTGGGGGAGGTTGTGGAGCTATGGTGAAAAATGAGCACTGTGCTAATGCAGGATCCATGAAGAACTTAAAATACTTTTCAGTCTTAGCTCCACTGCATCCATGTGGAGTCTCACTATGGGGATAGGGAAGCGGGGGCGCACACTGACAAATATCCTCATAAATACACAGGCAAGTTATTGTAGCTCATTCACTGGGTCAGGGGACAGCAGGATGAGAAGTGATACTTGGCGTTGTCCCACGTAATGCCTCATTGCCGTTGGGTATGGTCTGGACTTCACAGACTGCTCTCCTCCTCTGCCCCGCGTGAAGGAGAAAGTGCCCATCTGCAGCCTTTCAGGGGCAAGCTTCCAGCTCTGTCAGAATGGGTTTTCAGAGTTGGCGTAAACTATGGCCATTTCTGTACTGGCAGTGAAATCTCTTGTTTGATTTCTAGGGAATTTGAGTATTTGGTATAAAAGAGGGGAAAACACAACATTTCTGCTTTGTTCCTTTTTTTTAAAAGGAAACTTGAGTTATTTAAAACTTAGGCTTTGATTTTTATATTTAGTTAGCCCTCTAAGGAGCAGACATTCTGCAAATTTAAAGGGAAAACTTGAAAAGTCATTTGGATTTTTTTTTTTTTGCACATGTTCACTCAGAAATTTACTAGACTTTTAGAAATGCTCCCATTACTGCCACATCTGGGTTTTCTCTTTTTCTTCCCTATTTAAAAAAGTCCTGCAGTCATTCAAGGCTTCTAGTAGAGAGTGAGTCTAAAGGCAGCAAATGGGAAAGCCTAAGGCAGTTGGCAGCTGTGCTCTGCAGGCATTATTCGTTCTCCCAGGGTGCCACTTACTGGCTTGGGGGCTGGGGAATCGGCGGTATACCGGGAGCAAGCTCCCCCGTGATTGGCTCTGTTTGCTTTCACTTTGGGGAAGGGAGGACAGTGCATGGAGATGTCAAGATACAGACAGGAAACCTAGGAGCAGATGACTCAGAATGGAACTGAGGAGGGACTCTTGGGCGTTTCGCTGTCTGTCTGAGTGTACTTAGCTCCCCGGACTGACTGTTCAAAGGAGTCACCTCATGTTACTTTGAGAACCTTAGCTTTAATCTTAACTGTCACCACCTGAGAAGTGAGCACAGAATTTTTCTCTCTTTTAAACTTTAGAGCTCCATTTAAAGATGAAGGCTAGCATTGCATGTTGTTTTGAGAATGAAGGGGGAGATGCCAGGCTGTCATAATGCTGCAGGGGCCAGTATTAGGGTCTTGAACTTCAGTAATAAATACTGCGATTTAGAAAAGGGGCCCAGAAACAAACTGGGGAGTGGTTCATGTTGTGTGACTATTCCTGAAAACTAGATAGAACAGGGCCACCGTGGGAGGGGAGTAACCCAGGCTCTCTGTTTTTTGTTTTGTTTTGTTTTGTTTTTAAATTTTCCTCCCCTAAGTTTTAGATGCTTCTGGATGTTCAATGCTAGCACCTTTGCAGACTGGAGCAGCTCGATTTTCTTCATATTTACTTTCAAGAGCAAGAAAAGTGCTGGGCTCCCACTTATTTTCTCCCTGTGGTGTTCCGGAGTTCTGCTCCATATCCACCAGAAAGCTGGCGGCCCACGGCTTTGGCGCATCCATGGCGGCAATGGTGTCCTTCCCTCCCCAGAGGTATCACTACTTTTTAGTGCTGGACTTTGAGGCCACGTGCGACAAGCCACAGATTCAACCTCAGGTAACTGTTGCATCATTGCTTCAGAAAAGGCGGGGTGGTAAGGAGGGAGGGAGGACAGTCTTGCTTCCTGGGACCCAGAAGAACTTTCTTATGTCTTCCTGGCTCTTAGCTACTCATCTGGAGTTCCTGCCTAGGGAGCAGGACCTGGTTCAGGCATGCTAGTGTAAGGTAGACCTGAGAAGTCTCTGGAGAGAATGGGGCACATTGTTTCTCTCTGGCCTCAGCCTTTGGAAATCAAAATATTTCCTTTCGTCCCACCCTTCCTCTCTCCTTTTCCTTCCCTCTTTCCTTATTCTGCTATTGCTATTGTGGTCAGCCTCCAAGATGGTCTCCCTCTCATGCCCTTAGTAGTTCCCCTCCCATATTGAATCGGAGCTAGCCCTGTATAACCAATACAGTATAGTGTAAGAGACATTCTGAGGCTAAGTCAAAAGCATGGCAGTCCACCTGCTCTTTTGAGTCACTTGTTCTGGAAGAAGCCAGCCACCATGCTATGAGCACTTTGAAACAGCCCTGTGGAGAGGCACATGTGCATAGGAGCTGAAGCTCTTAGCTGAAAGCCAGTACCAACTTGCCAGTCATGTTTTTTGGTGCTGTCTTGGCAATGGATCTTCCAGTCCCAGTCAAGCCTTTAGATAACTCCAGCCCCTGAGGACATCTTACTTCACCCACGGGAAAGACCCTGAGCCAGACTGGCCAACTGGGCCACTCCTGAATTCCTGGCTTACAGAAACTGAGAGATAACAAATGATTATTGGTGTTTTATGCCACTAAGTTTTGGGATGATTTGTTATGCAATATTAGATAACCTGAACAAGTACCATTGTTGGTCTGTTGGAAAGGAACATTTTTTTGCTTGTTTTTTTTTTTCCTTAGTCACCAACTATATTCAGAGCCCTTTTATGGTACTGCTGCTAGGAATCTTGGATTAGCAGCAGAGGGGCGCCTATGCTAGGTGACCTCAGAGTGCTTGGTGTTTGCTTTGGAGAAATGATTGGGAGCTGATATGGCAGTCCGTTGTTGTGTGGGGACCTTGGGTATGCCCGGCTCTAGGGCCATAACTCTTCCCTGTGGGTCTGGGTTGTCAGGTGTGTAATTCTGGAATGCACAAACATGTTGGTCTGGGCATGGTCACGGGGAGGGAGAAAACAGGACTGTGGCATCAGGCACGTGGGAGACAAGGATATTTGGAGATAAACAGGGTTCATTTCTCACGATTGATTTTTTCCAGGAAGATGTTCTTTCTTTAGAATAGTAGATTGTTATTCATAAAGCAGACACCATGGTCCCTTTTCCTTCCCCTTTCTTCTCTTTCCTGTTCTCCTTTAAAGTAGCAGTCTGCCTCTGAGGCATTGGAATCAGGCCTGCTGAGGTTTGGGAAGACAGGAGCAGATTGAGGGGCATGTCCTAGGCACGGAAGTTTGTGTAAAAGGGAACACAGCTCGGGTGCTACCTGAACCATGTTTACGTTCTCGGCCCAGGCTGTAGGGTCTTCTCTGTCTCCCAGAACTACTGGCGATCCTATGATGGGTGTGCCTGGGTGGTGGGTAGGAATTTTGGTTATGTAGATTCTCTTAGCTGGGAATCAGGGATTTATTTCCTAATATACCACATTATTTCCCTTACTGGTATACAGTTTGAAATCCAACACATCCCTTTTGATGTGTTGCTGAGAATCTGAACTTCAGGATTGCTTGGCACCTCCCTTATGGCCTTTCCTGCTTTTTGCCTCCTGGCACACGCCTTCGTATATTTGTTTCTGAACTTTCAGTTCCAGTATGAGCTCAGATAATTGTGTAGCTCTCTTCTCTTGTTTTGCAGAGGGTCCTACCAATGTTGCTGAAGGCGAAGCCTGATTCTTGTCTCAGTTTGGTCTGTCAGTATCACCTTTCATCTCTCTTTCAAGGTCATTGGTTTATTTATTTATTTATTGCAATGTTGAAGACGTAATGCAGTACAGATTTATATCACTTGTGTCACCAACTTCCTTTCTAGACTTAGGCACCAAGGTCTTTCAGACTTAGGCAGTGGTGGGGCTTCATGCTGTTTACTAGGATCTGGCCTGATTAAAGATTATCTGCAGAATCAATGAACCCTGATGATGTGATTCCAAGGGCACTTAAGGAATTGGCTGCCCTGGTTCATTATTAGGAAAGCATTAGCTGCTGCTTTAGAGAACTCGGGAAGAAGCATTTGCTGTCTTGCTTATCTTTATAAGGGGAATACGAATGATCTTGGAAATTATAGACCCGTTAGTTTACTGTGATTCCAGAGAAGATACTTGACCTGATCGTCAGATAATCAATCAACAAACAGCTAGAAGAGCATAGGGTACTAAGTAATAACTTACATGGGTTTGTGAAGAAGAGCAAATCCTGTCAGATCAATCTAACTTCTTGCTGTGACATAGTGATGGATTTGAGTGGATCTAGGGCAAGTGATGAATGTAATGCATCTCTACTTCATTAAGCCTCTACAATGCTGTGATCAACAGGTAGGAAAGTGAATTTGGGGCCAGGCAGCTCTGCTGGACTACCCATTGAACCGGTCTCGGGAAAGGGATGTGTAGCTCAGAAGAGACTTGAGACCTGTTGTTAGTGGCAGCGTAAAGCCCCTCAACCCCTTCTGCTTAAAAAAAAAAATCTTCCCTGAAGTTTTTGGGTAGCAAGATCCTGAAAGGATTCAGGGAAAGTTTGGAAGGTGGACTAGAGAACCTGTGAGTCCCAGATTGGACAGCATCCTTCCACTGAGGTCCTCATAGTTCAGGTTCTCCTTAGGGCCTCTGCTATTTTGGTCTTCTGGTCAACAAGGACAGTGGAGAAATTAGAAAAGCTCAGGATAAGAGGAACAGAAATCATTAGGAGGACAAAAATAAGACTTAGGAAGAAAAGAAATTGAATGTGGTTTTAGCAACTGATTCTCATCCAGACTAAATAAATTCATCATGTGGGAAGTCATTGTTCCAAGGAATATGATAACAACTTGCTCTTTGTTTTAATAAGGACAAAAAGAAAGGAATTTAGATGGAATCAGAAAAGAATGAGATGTGGGATGAACTTCTGAAGAGACGGTGAAAGAACTAGAAAATGGTGTGCCAGTTAGACCAGACTGCCCTAGCGCGCTCTCTGAATGGCTTGGGAGTTGTCCACTTGACAGAGAGACGGTGGGCAGGTCTGCGTGGCTCCTGGAACTGGCTCGAGCTGGGAAGGAGAACCACCCTGCTCCCCTCGTGCCTGGCTCCCAGAAGCTTTCAGGACTTAGGGCCTCTGCAGAGTACACTTCTGATTCTTATGGGAGTGTGCCGTACCCCTCACTATGTAGGGGCAGAAACAAATTCTGGGCCACGGCCTATCTGGAGGCTTGGCATTGGGTTCATTCTCTCGTCTGCCTCTGGTTCTCAGAAGTCCCTGAGCCACCCTATTGGGACTGTCCTAAAGACACACCGCTGTGAAAACTAACAGGTGTGAGCTCTGCTGTACGTGGGTCAGTAACGGTATTGGTTGTAAACATGGCAAAATGTGATATTTTACCATCACATTTACCATTTGTCATCATTTTTGCTGTTTATTTTTGTACTCTGTTTAGCTAGGTGAAACAGGAATGGTCGGTTTGCCAGTAACAGGCTTCCACTTTCTGTTTTTTGCACTCATTTCGTTTCACATGTTTTGATTCAGATGAACATAATAGGTATTGGTTGAATATGAGACTGTTTTTCCATTTGAAAACATTTTTTCACTCTAATTTTAATTTAGGTAGTTTAAAATGCTTTGTAGACTCTAAATTTGAGGAACACGATTCCTTTCTTGCTTTAGGAATTGTTTCCTGGTGTGGAGGGAGGTTTTTATATGGCTTCTGGGAATTGTGGCTCCTTCATCCTGCTGGCAGAGGGCACACTGCTCATTTTGGTGTGTGCATCCGGTGGTGGTGGTGACCCCGGGCCCAGGAAGCAGCCGGAAAGCTTGGTGGACCCTCAGTTGTGCGTCTTTAACCCGGGGGCAGTGGTCTCAACACCTCAGTGTTCAAAAAAGAGCACAGCAAATGTCACTGGGGAAAGCTGCCTGCCCTCCCTCCCCGACTTTCCCCTGGCCGCCCTGCAGGCTCCCTGGTACAGTGTTTTTCTCACTGCCCTAGAGCAGCGCGGCTGACTGTTGTCCTTCCGGTCTGTATTCAAGGGCTCGAGGACCCGTGACTTTGGAGAAAGATGACTTTTGGGGTTGGGGTTTTTCTCGTGTTTGGTCTTTGTCCACAGGGTTTTTTTTTTTTAAAGGAAACCTTAAAGAGACTCCATCTGCATTTTGAGTTAGAACTGTGAGCAAAGGAGTTTCTTTTTTATAGAAAACTGTCCAGATGCTAGGTTATTTTGGGAGGGTAGGGTGAGAGAGGATGGTGACATGAGAAGGAATTATATAGAAGAGAGGCATTTGGGGAATTTCAGTATGACTTAGAGCTGGCACATCATTATTAGTCCTTTGTGAAAGAGACATTTTGGAAAACTTTATGAGAGAGACATTAAAAAAAAAACTTTATAGAAAATTGGTTAAGATCCCTGCAAATGAAACTATATGGATTCCCTTCACCTCCATTCAAGGCTGAAAAGCAGGATCCCCCTACTTCATAACCCCCACCCAATGCACACATAGTGTTCTTGGTCCGTGTTTAGCTTCTCCTTCTCCCCACTCATGTGATTCCTGCACACACCCAGTGAATGGAAAGCAGTTTCCTAGAGAAAGGACCCACCCCACCCTCCCCACTCACTTGTCCTGGCTGTAGCTCCTCCAAATGGGAGGGGTCAGGCCAAGCTTTTGAGCAGGAGAGCCCAGTTGTTGGGTCGTGGTCTGTCTGGCTGTGGCCCCAGTCAGCCTGTACTTTTTTCTGTACAGACAGGCGAAGGCGCTGATGCTATTCTTCTAAACTGGGAAATGAAATGTAAAACCGACGTTAATGTAACATTATGGTTGAGATTAAATGCACCAAAATCAGGAAATTCAAAGTTATGCTTC